CACAATAATTCAATTATTTGTCTAGGCGTGTTTAAGTTCGTAAAAATTCTGACACCAAATTATCACGTGTTTTGAGTACGAATCTCGTTGGTCACGTGTTGAAGTTCAAATCCCACTTCTGACACCAGTTGTCGCGTATCGGGCCTATATCGCGACAAATAACTTCACGATGTATTTTATATAGCGAATTTTATTTCACATTCGCACTTACAATCACCCAAATTACAATCTGACGATTACTGCTATCTGCAGTATCACAATTAGTACACTCCCAATGCCAGAATACAACTGACTGGCTGACTTTACGTCTTGACTCGGCGACTGTTACAGTACAACAACAGTACAACTCAGTACAACTCTGCGGTAGCCCCACTAGAACTGAACTGATCGATACGCACTGTGCATCCACTTATATAGCTGCAGTGCTTGCCTGTGGCGTAATGAGTGCCACGTCACAGTAGGACGTTGATTACGGTTACGTTAGCGTTGCGCGTTACGTCACCGCGTGACGTCACCGCGGAGGGGAGTGGCGGGGAGCGCTAAGTTACCGTGGAGAGGAGGGGGGTTCTCAGTCGCGCAACATGTTACATTATTATTAATAATAATATTATTAATTAATGGTGTTAAAACTCCATTGACTCGGATTGGTGGGGAACATAGTACACACGGAAGAGAAGATAAATACATGCAATTTAAATCGGAAATCCTATAGACAAGTGTATACTTGAGAGACTTACGTGTGGATTGGAAGATAAAATTAAACTTAAAGGTGTAAAATTTGATGTTATTGACTAGATTCAGCTGGCTTAGGAAAAGGTCTAGTGGTGGGCTTTTGTGAATGCAGTCTGTTCCATGATGTTAGCTGTGGTTAACTTAAAGTATCTTGCTTAATATTAATCACTCAGACTTTTAAATTAACCCTGCTCTGAGCTACTTGAGGATTGAAGAACATGAAACGTGGAGTTATTTGTAGTAGTTTAGTTAGTTAGCGCATTCAGTTCTACACAAGGGATAATTGTTTTCAATTCTGTATGGCTTTCTTATTTTCCTGCACTCTGCCACAAGCCGGAAGGTCGCGGGTTCAAGTCATTGGATTTTTTTCAGTTGACCTAACCCTTCCAGCCGCAATATGGCCCTGGCGTCGACTCAGCCTTTAACTGAAATGACTACCAGGAATTAATTAAATACTTTTCCTGGGGAGTAAAGCGCGGCCGCCGCGTAACGCTGACAACCTTACCGCCATCTTTGAGACGACTGTCTAGATAATGTAGGACCCTCAACGTCTCACAACCCTATGGGCCTTCACGGCCTATTACAGGGATAACTTTACTTTACTTTCTATTTTCCTGTGTACTCTCTCTTGTGTGGCATTCTTAGTGGTCGGAGAACAGTCAACTGTTTTCACCGTCCACACATCGAATTAGGAAGATGTCACGAAAACCTCGAACAAACACATCAAGATCACGGTCTTCTTAGCTATAACGCCGTACAGTGTGGTTGATAAGTAGAAAAGTTTCGGAGATATCGGCTGACGAAATATTCTGGGTAGAAGCGAATCTCAAAGAAATATCCCCGTTCCTAAAATATCATCATGGAAATTTTTAATGCTTAATGATTAAAGTAAATCTCGTATTCATAGATTCACTTCCACAATCGAGACTGGCCTTCGCTGCATAAGTATATCAATCCAGAGATCTTGCCTGCAGAATATGGCGGCCAAATTCCCAGCTTAGATTATGCAAAACTCCGGGCTCTCCTCTACGATAATTCAGATCAACTAATGGGTGAGTCGAAGTGGTTAATTATAAATACAGCGATGTTAAGAAACTTCAAGGCATTTTAAATTAAAGGATCAATACTAAACTCGATTAAAGTTTCAGTTTAATTTGCAATATATTTTTAAATTGTGAGGATGTGGAATGGACTAAAGTGGCATGTGGTATGCTCAAAATGCGGCATTCTATGTTTGTCGTGATAAAGCTTAGGAGCATAATGCAAAATACTTATTTATCAATTTATATATTAAAGTATGGAATGTATGAGAAAGTATCAAATGAAAATTTTATACAAGTAAACGAACTAATTTTTAAAGGTTCAATTTATCGAAATATTGTATAAACATTCAGTTCGTACCGAACAGGAAACCATTATGTCTCGGCTATAAAGATGAATTGGTTAGTGATGTTTAGAAAAAAAAGATTTCTTTTTGTGAGAACCATATGAAAAACACCAATTCACACAATGGACAGAATGCAGAGTTTAGTATGCTAAAGCAGTTCATATATTGAACCACTGGGCTTTAAACGATTAGCATTGTAACCTTTCGCAATTCCATTCAAAATAACATTAAAATGGATCATTATTCGTAAATATCCATTAAATAAACAAGNGTACTACACACTCCCAATGCCTTCTCACGCTGTCGCCTCTAATCACACGTTCCGGTATTCTTCACGTTCACGATTCACTCGCTACATCTGAGGCATTCCAGTTCTCTTATAAACCCTCAGCCAGACAGCGGAAAACGCGCCTCGCTTCCTTGTTGTGCAATCGCCGTGTTTACAGGCTTTGCTGGGCAACGCTGTCGAGAATTGTTTACGCTGTGTAGTAACCGCGGTATCCCCTGCTATGTCACTGTGGGAAGTGCTGTTACGTCACCGCGGCAATGGTTTTCCTGACACAGTTGCTCTTCTGTTACGTCACCGCGGGGAGGGGGTGTTTACCGAGCGTTGCGTACTGATGGAAGGAGTGGGGGTATATGATGTCACTCGCGAGACCCCAGAGTTCACCTGACCCCTACTTCCTGTTGCGCCATCCACGTCACACTGTTCCCTTCTAAAGGTTGTTCATCCCGAACAGCCTAACGGTACATCCCCATTCCTTTTCTTCCCGTTGTCCGTTCTCCAACTGCTATATCTTCCCCCTTTTTATGGTTGCTCGTCTCGAGCAGCTCCATGATAAGGCGTGAGCCGGTCCAGGTGTACTACCAACAGTCTCGACCTAGGGTTCTTCTGGATTCTGTATACCACGTCATTAATCCGGGTTATTATTTTGTAAGGACCTTCCCACGAGGATCGAAGTTTAGGTGATTTTCCTTTCCTGCGGGCTGGGCGATAATGCCAAATTCTGTCGCCCTCGTGGTAACCTGCGGAGTTGGCCAGTTTACCGTACCGAATTTTCATCCGGTCACTGGCGAGCTTCAGGTGTTGTCGGGCATAATTGTGGATGTCGTGTAGATGATCAACCAAGTCTGCTGCATAATCGGTTGTGGGTAGTTCCTTGTCTGGGGTACCCCAAAAAGCAGGTCGCAGGGCAGTCGGAGTTCTCGTGCGAACACTAGGCTAGCAGGGGTCAAACCCGTAGTGTCGTGAGTGGATGCCCTGTAAGAAAGAGGGGTAACCTCTCATCCCAGTCCCTCTAGTGGGATGCGATGACCTTCCGCAAGTTCTCCTCGATGGTCTTAATGTAGCGTTCCACCATGCCGTCCGACTATGGGTGCAGGAGCGTGGTGCGCGTCTTGCTCACTCCCAGGCGTTGCAAAACTTCTTGTAGCAGATGAGACTCGAAATTACGGCCTTTGTCACTGTGCAACTCCCGAGGTATGCCGAAGCGCAGAAGAAGTTCGCAGCCAGTAATAACAGTTTCCTCAACGTGTTGTTATTTGCCTTCTGAAGATGGTCATTAATTGACCGAAACATGTAAGAGCATCATATATATCATATATATTGTGACGTGGATGGCACAACAGGAAGTAGGGGTATGTGACGTCACGCGCGAGACCGCAGAGTTGACGTGACCCCTACTTCCTGTTGCGCCATCCACGTCACACACTAATATACGGAGATAACGGTTACGGAGATAATGGCCAGAGAAGTGTGAAACTTTGACCGGCGTTGCACACTTGTTGATTACAAAATACATATTAAAACTGGCAGGAATATGTGGATTCTGTAATGCTAATAATGTACGTAACATCAAACCAACTTGTGAGTGGCGGAAAGCCATAAAATTGAAGTACAAAATACTCGCTCGCCATGTCATAATTGTCCTTAGGTTTCCAAGCAGTATACATAACACATGACTGGCGAGCGATGACGTAACGTGCTGACTGCGCGTTCTGGTATGAGCCAACTACATAAGCACGGCTAGGGAGTATCATCGCACTCAAGTACAAACATAGATAAGGGCTCTCAGCTGAGAGGTACAGCGAGGTACAGTGCTTGGACCTGCCAGAAGACCACACTTTTCTTGGGCCATTATCTCCGTAGCCGTTCAACTTTGGACATAGGTGTTTTGGGTTATATCGGCATACTTTAACATAAGGAACACCCTCCCGAAGTTTGGCACATTCCTCCTGGGACACCCTGTATATGATGCCCTTACATGTTTCGGTCAATTAATGACCATCTTCAGAAGGCAAATAACAACACGTTAAAGGAAACTGTTATTACATAAATCATAGTGCGGTCAAGTTCAAATTTGTCCAAATTTTTATATAAAGGTTTTAATTAAGCTAAAATCTGGCGAGTTAAATTATTAATAAAATTCTTACTATTTAAATCTTAAACCGCTAACATTCATGTCTTCATGCCTCTTCTATCAACGGGATATTGGGTAAATTGCCGTCCTTGGAGGTCCGGGAAGTGTTTTTCCTTCCTTCTGTAGTTGGTCAAGAGTCTGTGTTTGTTGTTAAGCTGTTAGTCCTTTCGTTGTTTGTTGAGGCACAAAAAGACTAACAGCTTAACAACAAACACAGATTGTCAACGAAATATATAAAGAAGAGAAACCACTGCCCGGATCTCCAAGAACGGCAAATTACTCAATATTCCGTTGATAGAAGAGGCACGAAGACATGAATCTTAGCGGTTTAAGATTTTAAATTAGTAATAATTTTATTAATAATTTAACTCGCTTAATTAAAATCTTTATATAAAACTTTGGACAAATCCGAACTTGACCGTACTATGATTTATGTAATAGCAGTTTCCTCAGCGTGTTGCTATTTGCCTTCTGAAGGTGGTCATTAATTGACCGAAACATGTAAAGGCATCGTATACTATATATACATATATTGTACATATACATTTGAATCACACTGGACGATGTAGTCAAATTGTTCTATAATATTGACTAGTGTGACGCACCAGAACAAATAAAGTTAAATTTATAGTAACATTTTAAATAGTAAAATAAAAAATCTGTCTGTTCCACTGCGCGCAGGGCTCCGGTCAAGCGATAATCGGATTACATCTACCACCGTCCTGAGAAGCAGGGCCATTAACACGTAATATCCCGTTTCACTTTTACTCTAAGGAAATAAAATGATCAGGTTACGTTTGTAAAATTTGGAGGCGTCTGTTTAACTGGGGAAGGTTACTCTAAGCCAGAATTTCAGGATTTTTTTGGACTTTGTCCGTCGTCAGGTATTCTAGAAAACACAACGTTTCGGAAACTGGATCTGTTCCCATCCTCAGGTGGGGGAAGACACCCACTCAGTTGGGTCCCTTAGAAAGAGGTAACCTCAGTCACTGGGCAACCATTGTCAGAACCATTTAGAATCTACTTACTCTAAGTCAGTTTCAATTACTGTTAAAATCGGGTTACCGAAGCTCCAAGAAGTACTCGAAATTTGTCTATGTAACACCATTTTGTAATTTGATACTTTTCAGAACTATTTTCTATGGGGTACGTCAACACGTGAAGAAGGAGGCATGTCCTAGTATCCAATTCGCAAGGGCTACAAGTCATGTATGGACTCACATTTACAATACATGTCTCTACGAACCAGGTTACGTCTCACACTGTCTAGCCAACCTTTCAGAAGAAAAGTTTTACACGAGTACGTCTGAATGTTCCAGAGATGCATGAGTATCGGATGTATGTATATATATTCTCTATGATTGTGAGGCGATAGATTATTTAAGACTGCTTCATCTGGGCCAGTTTTTGCGGAACCAAGTGACTACTATGACGCCCCCATAAACAAAGTCCTACATTTCATTGGAAGTGTAGGATTCATAAAGAGTTAATCAAAGTGGAAAGCACAATAGATCATTGAGGGTCGCAGTGCAAGGGCCAGATTATTGTGGCCCACCCCTTTTAAATTCATTCATTCATTCATTCATCGGAAGTACACGTATGTTGAAAATATCATCTAGTAGATAACAGGCTATGACACATCCAAGTTCCCACAGTAAGTGAACTGTACATCAGTGCATGAATAATGCTGTGTTCTGAGATGGGACGTCATGTGGTCCGATGGGAGTTCACCGAAGAAGAACTTCTGCTTGCTGCTAGCTTTTTATTGTTGTTGGCTTGTTTTAGTCTTCAGCTCTGAAGAGCGAGGCAGTATGTTCCCCCGAAACCTCAGTGAAATTCTACCGGACTACTCAGTGTCACACATCAGCAATTAGTCCCCCTGTAGCCACAGCTATGACCATCTCAAACCCAATGTATAATATTAATCTGGTTATTAAAGAAAAGGGGCACCGGAAAACCGGAAACAGCAAGAAGGAAGATTTGAGGCTTTCACGGCGGTGACTATGAAGAAAGCAGTCTTCTGGGATTTGGCACCGTGTATATGTGGTGTTAACCGACGTTTCGGAGGAACGTATCGCCTCCATCTTCAGGGTAGAAAGGAAAATATAAGAAATCCGTAAGCGAAGAGACCGTGAGAACCTGTAACGTCGGTTAACACCACATAGACACGGTGCCAAATTCCAGAAGACTGCTTTCTTCACAGCAAGACGGAAGTTTCGGCGATGTTTACTGGACACTAGAAGATGAAATCACAAATGTATTGCAAACAGCAGAAAGAAATAACCGTCTAAATATAAGTGAAACTGTGGACTACAAGAATTAATTGCAGCACAGTTTTAAAGGAAGGGGCTGAGAAAGTGATAGCCCAGTTTCGCATAAGGGTGCTTCCTTATTTCCGATAAGTAACGTAATTGTTTAAGAAATGTAATTAATAAAAAACGCAATAAAACGAAACATAGGTCTACAGCATGTACAGAAATCTTATTTTTATGAAGAAGAAACAGTCATATTTTAAGAATAATATATGAATGTGTGTGCAAAATAGTCACATACGTAGTTTACAACAGAGTTACACCTTTCAGGGAATCCATTTCCTTATCTTGCTCAGCCTTCATTATGGTCTATTCATTTCTTTCACTATCAGCCCTCTTAAGATTGTATTAGATAACAAGACTATATAAAATACAATTCTTTATTTCAGATGCTGGAAATTCGCAACAATGAATCCCTAATTAGTCAAACCAGTACTAATCTAAACATAGCAACATAACGGGGAATTGAAGGATTCCGAATTGATAGAAACACGTGATATAGGTGCATGTTATAATGTAATTATGTAAATTCATATAAACAATATGTAAATTTAAATTTACTTGTGGTTCCGAAACTTTAGCCCTGTAAGCGAAAATATTACATCAGAATTGACAGGAACACGTGCACTGGCAGTAAATCCACAATGCTACTTCAACACCCGATCTACAGCTGCTGAGAAATTGGTTGAGCAGGAAGTGTAAGAAAGGTCCTGTGGCCAACACCGCAGTACTGGCCTCACTTCCTGAAAATCCACGTCATCCGAAATCAAGCGCCTATCTGAAATATGGTGATTTACCCTACTATTTAGAATTTCATGCTGAGGTAAACATGTAAGTTTGCATGAAGTCTATGAATCACGGATCTTTGCATGAAGCTGGAATTCAGTTGATTATAGAGAGCTCCCTATACTCTACTGTGACAGCCGCGACACTGAGCGCACAGATGGCACGGATCGAGACAGCGTAATTAACTTTTCATGTCCTTTAAGAATAGAATCAACTACGTGATAACACGTGTACTTAAGGCATGAAACACTGAGGCAGAAGTTCTTAAAAATATGCTTTATTTTTATTAGTTTCCGAGATATGTAAGTTTTACTGTAAAATTTCATGTATTAACTGAAATAGTGTCAAATAATGTAAGAAAAGTATTTTTAATTATAAGAGACGCCTCTCATAATTTTCTATAAATATTTTTGGATTTAAAATTGTTGGACACAGATAATGCACGGTTAATTAACTTTACATGATTTCACTAATATATAGGTGAAAAGTAAGGCTGTCCCTGTGCTTAAAGAATTAAGCATGAAGACATGAAGACATACGGAGGAGTGGAGGTACAGCTTTACCATTCTTGACCTTATCACTAGATGGAGGTGAGTGGTGAGCTTCACACCCTGGCCGTTTTATCCCTGGGGAAAGAGCACCCGGTTCCCATTGTATAGGAGGCTGGGTGGGACCCAGAACCTGTCTGGACGCCTGCCAGGGATCGAACCCCAGCCATTCAGTCCGTAGTCCTTCACTGTACCAACTGAGCTATCATATCATCCAGATTATTTCACTAATATATTGTATATAATACAATTTCACGTTCCGCTGCCATTGCTGCCAACCAATTATAACTGCAGGGGTTTCTGAAACCACCGCTGGGCAGCAATAGCTGCCAACCACCGCTGCAAAGTAATTACAGCGGCAGCGGGTTTCCAGGTTTCACTTTCGTTATAATTGGCTGGAAACGACGACAAGCCGTTATGATCATCAACACATCCCAGTTCTTCCTCCGGGATACTGGTGCCAGTGGCGGGTCTGAAGCAGCGATGTATCACTAAGTGTAGGCTTTGGATACCCCATGCCCTCCTATTGTGCTGGTGTTTCATGAGACCGTTCATAATTCAATAACCACGATGTGTAAGATAGGAAAGGGGGTAGGCTAATCCGAGCGGTAACTCAGAATTTGTAAACCAAAGGACATAAATTTAATTCTGCAGTTAGGGATAGCTACGAGTAAAATAGAAAACTCAGAATTATTTCCAGTCTTTTTTGAGAAGATGCTGCTCATTAAGCTGGTTAAAGAATTCCCCCTTTTCTAGGTAACTCAAAAGACACAATCACTGGTCCAGTGATTGAGATCAGTTCTTTCTAACGGACCTAACAGAGGCGACTCTTCATCTGAGGAGGGAAACAAATCTTATTTCCGAAATGTGTCTTGTTTTGTGTTCTTTAGAATACCGGGCGAGGGATGAAATCCAAACGCCCAATAACTCCGTATATACGTATGTAGAGACAGCTACTTGTTGAACTGTCCTGTAAATACGTGTATTTCTTATACTCGAAGTTGCACAGTGTACACAGACGAACTTGAAGAACTGAAGATCATTGGCTCAAGACTAATAATGTAACAACATTAGTGAACACTGTAACACCTTGAACGTTGTACTGAAACGCAATTCTGAACTGAAATTGAAACTCCAAAAGTCAAAATCACATTGCGACTGACGTCCAGTCAGTCAATAAGCCTTGGTGTCGAGCCCCCTCCTGGGGCTCGTGACCAGATATTTATTACTCTTTGACACCTACAGTCTTGTTTTTTGTGGGGCGTCCTCTCTGACGAGAGGATGGGTCTGTCTTTTGTACATGCAGCTGGCCCTTGCCAGCGCAGTCTTTCTCGGGTCCGAGTCCCTTGGAATCCGCGACCATATTTTACTGTCTCAGATTTGAGACTTCCCATTTCGTCGCCTCCTACGACCCGTAGGGTCACGGTGGAGGTATTCGACCCCAAGTATATCTCAGAATATCTCCTTACTTAACCTTGAGTCGGACCTATAGAAAACGCGTCACTGTCCTGATTGTTGTAGGCTTTACCTAGTACGACTGTTTACTCAGCCGTTGCTAAGCAGCGAATGGTTCATAGCTTGCGATTGGCTAGCACTCGATCCACTGAGTGCTTCCCACAGTCACATATTATTGTAGACCTTACCAAGCAACGACTGTTTACTCGACGTTGCCAAGTAATGATACTTGCGTTGCTACTGTAATGTTTGCTTGAATGTGGGCAGTTCCCACACACGTTCAGCAAATTAGCTACCTGCCCCTTCAGTTATTTGGCTGATATTCTATTGAGCGGCATGGATTTATTAAAATTAATATCTTATACTATGTGACGCCAAAAGTCTGGTAGATATTGACCGACGTTTTGGAAGAACGTATTGCCTCCATATTCGACGTAGACTACTCTCAATATGAAGATATAACGTTCCTTGAAACGTTGATAAATATTTACCAGACAACACGGAAGTTGTATCTCTGTAGGCAACAATCTTCATGGATACTGTCGGAAGGAATTTCCTTGATTAGTGGCAACATGGAGACTAATGTAAAGGTAAAGTTGTCCCTGTGTTTCGGTAATTAATTATGAACACGTTCATAATCAAGCGGTATAGTCGGTATAGCGACTGACTACGAGCTGGACGACCGAGGGGTCGGAGTTCGAGTACCCGTAGGGCCAAGAATTTTCTCTTCTCCACGTTGTCCAGACCGACTGTGGGCTCCACCCAACCTCCTATCCAATGGGTGCCGGGCGCTTTTTCTCTGAGGGTAAAGAGGCTGGGACGTGAAGCTGAGGCCAAGAAGATGTGGATCTATACATCCACTTTTCCATAGGCCTTCATGGTGTAGTGCTTAATTATTTAAGGAGAGGGGCAACTGTACCTTATCTTACACAATAAACACGATAAAATGAAACAGAAGACTCTCTGCTTCTTTATGACGTGCTACATGACTTACGTTCATGCAACGTGATAACGTCTGACCATTCGTTGGTACGGCACCCCGAAATTGCATAATCTCAGAGCTTTAATCTCACTCTTACATTATTTCTTTCTATATGTAGAGAGATAGATACGTCTAAAAATTCAGCAACATCCACCATAACTAGGGTATATCAGATGAACCATTGGCTTACACATTTAGATAATCAACATATTCTGCATTTACTACAAAATAAATAGACTCGTGGGAACTGTCCACATTCAACAAGTGTGACAACGCGAGCTTCATTGCTTAGCAACGAGTAAACAGCGGTTTATCGCGAGAGTTGAATGCCACAGAGCTTGGCCGGTATGAGTAGCGAGCACACGAAGTTCTGCTACGTGATCTCGCAGTTGGACCAACGTTACACCTCGGAAGCAGAGGACATTATCACCTCCCCACCGAAACGCGACCCATACACAACGCTGAGAACGGAACTGGTAAGACGGCTATCCCCCTCGAAAGAGCAGCGCATCCGCGAGCTCCTTACACTAGAAGACATGGGCGACCGCAAACCTTCCCAGTTTCTAAGACACCTCAGAAACCTCGCCCCAGACATACCAGATGACTTACTCCGCAGCATGTGGTCCAACCGTCTACCTGCTCATATAAGGGCCATCCTCGCAGGCCAAACCGAGAATGACTTGGACGCCACAGCCCGCTGCGCGGATCGTATTACAGAAGCCGCACCCCAGCAGACACTTGCGAGTGTAGCGCTACTCCCCGAGAAGAATGATACTTGGAAATATGTAAAAGATCGAGGACGCCAAGTGCAAACACTGAACGCCAAGCTGGGACGCATTATTTCCAACTCCAGGAACCGCCGCTCGGCCAGCAGATCGCCCTCACGAGAGAAGGTTATACCCACCCTCTGCTTGTACCATCACCGCTACGGGGCCCGGGCACAAAAGTGTACGCAGCCTTCTCCTACCGCCAGCAGGAAAACTAACACGGCGGACATCAACGGCGGCACATGTCTGCACCCCAAACAACGGCCGCCCTTTCGTCACGGATAGGATCAGTAAACGGCGATTTCTAGTAGACACAGGTTCAGACCTATGCGTGTATCCCCGCGGGCTCATCCCACGGCAAAGGGAACGTGTCAACTACGACCTCTGCGCGGCTAACGGCACCACAATCCACACCTACGGATGGTTGCCTCTTAGCCTCAACCTGGGACTACGTCGGGATTTCACGTGGCGATTCATAATGGCCGACGTTACTCAGCCATTCATCGGAGCCGACTTCCTCTCTCATTTCGGCCTCCTGGTGGACTGCCAAAACAACCGCCTACTGGACGGTCTCACGTCGTCTTCCCCGGCGCAACCAGCCAACTCACTGATCCCCAGCGTCAAGACCATCAGTAGCGGCACACCAGTCGACAGCCTACTCGTCAAATTCCCTGACCTCACCCGCCCAACCGGAACCCAGTGCGAAGTGCGCCACAACACTGTGCATCACATACCTGGCCCGCCAGTCACCTGCCGACCCCGGCGACTGGCACCGGACCGACTCGCTACCGCCAAAGCCGAGTTCGACGCCATGTTACGGCATGGCACAGCTCGCCGCTCAGAGAGTTCCTGGTCTTCTGCACTGCACATTGTACCAAAGAAGGCCAACGGTTGGCGTCCCTGTGGCGACTACAGAGCTTTAAATGCCGGGACCATCCCCGACCGCTACCCCGACCGGCATATCCATGACTACTCCCACCAGGTTTTCGGTGTTCCGTCTTCTCCAAGATCGACCTGGTGAGAGCCTACAATCAAATTTCCGTCCATCCCGACGATATACAGAAGACGGCCATCACCACTCCATTCGGCCTATTCGAGTTCCCCTCATGTCCTTCGGCCTGCGCAAGGCCGCACGGACCTTCCAACGCTTCATGGACGACATTCTGCGGGGACTCGACTTCTGTTTCGCTTACCTGTATGATATCCTCATCTTCTCCCGGTCTCTAGAGAAACACGAGCAACACCTACGGGCAGTCTTCGACCGACTGCAGATGTATGGGATCCTCATCAACCCGGCGAAGTGAGTCTCCCGAGTACCTGAGATCACCTTCCTCGGTTATAAGGTGTCCGCCGAAGGCTCCCAACCGCTGGAAGAACGAGTGACTCACCTCCAGGAATGTCAACCTCCCAAAACCGCCAGTCAGCTCCGCCGTTTCCTGGGCATGCTGAATTACTACAGGCGATTTCTGCCCCACGCGGCAGCACACCAGGCACCACTGCACGACTATAACCGCCCACAAGCCTAAATGGTATTTTATTGAGAGTTATTCTCAATATTTTATAATAATTACGCAGAGTGTGTACGCAGAGTGTGACATAGCTCACCTCTTGCACACACGAAGCTGCCTGTTTCACAGATGGACCACACACACACAAAAACTCCAGATGGCCCCCTGGTGATTTAGTTCAGCATTTCTTGGAATTTTGGTTCCAGAGTCGCTCGGCGACTCACTTTGGAAATTTGACTCTTGACAGTTTCTGCTAGTCTTAAGTCACACGAAGGCGTGCCAGGAGGGGA